GTGTTCGGTGGGGAAAGAGGAGGAAGTCAGCGGCGTGGGCAGCGACGACGTGGGGGAGGAGGAGAAGAGAGAGAGAGAGAGACCAAAGTCAACATATCAATCAAGTGTAATTCAAGGGCTCACAATTGGTCTTGTTGGGCAAGCTAGATCCAAGGGCCACGATTCATTCTTACACAAAATATCTAGGGGCACTTAGGAAATTGAGCAAGAGTGATGGGGGCATCAATGTCCAATATTTTCAGCACTATTAGGGGCTGAATAAAATAAATTAAACCTCTAAAATTCGGAATTAACACTTAGGACTTAGGGGCAAATCGGTAATTTTCCATTCCCGGTCCGAAATTCCATTTTTCGACTATACCGATCCCAAATATAATTGGCCACATAAATACGACGTTGTCCTTGCAAAATAGTCGCGTACGTCCATGAAATTCGACACTCAAGTCTGGACTCAATTCCACGATCAATTTCGCTCAAATGCGATTTTAGCGTCTCTCACTAACGAGCGGCTGTTTAGGGGTTACGCATATCGACTTAGGATTACTCAAGTCGTGACGGTCTCGATATACAAGAGAATGGGAGGATTATCGCTAGTTCCGGGGGTCGCGATCGTTTGGAATAAGTTCGGGATTGTTTGCCACTCGCACTCTCGGTCGTGCGGAATCACCCGTGTCCCGATCGTACGTCGTTGGCTAAACTAAATCCGTCACACTCCTTGGATCGGCCCACATTGGCCCAAAATATTTCCTTGTCGTTTCTCGGAATCGGACTCGATTCGCGGTCGAGTTGTAACATCCCGAATCTCGACTCATTTTCGGGATCAATAATATTGATATTATTCCTCATTCGATTTTAGTAAGTCTCGCCCGAAATTGAGCTCTCTCGGGATACTAACCGGAAGGGAATGGCTAATTAGGAAACGGTACGTGGACCAAGGACCCGATCGCGAATCGGGCACCGATTCCGAGAAACGATGTGGAAATATTTTGGGCCAACGTGGGCCGATCTTAGGAGGGTGACGGATTTAGTTTGGCCAATGACGTACGATCGGATCGCGAGTGATTCCGCACGATCGAGAGTGCGCATGGCGAACAAATCCCAAACTTAAGCCGAATGATCGCAACCTCCGGAACTAGTGATAATTCATCGCGTTCTCCCGGTAATCGAGACCGTCATGACTCGAGTAACCCTAGGTCGATACGTGTAACCCCTAAACAGCCGTCCGTTAGTGAGAGACCCTAAAATTCTAAATTGAGCGATTTTGGTCACGGAATTGAATCCGGAGTTGGACGTCGGATTTCGGGGTCGTGAGCGACTATTTTGCGAGGACGACGTCATTTTAGTGTAGCTACATGTATTTGGGGTTAGTACGGTCGAAAAATGGAATTTCGGCCCAAAATCGGAAAATGAACATTTTGCCCCTAGGCCAAAATTGGGCATTCCGAATTTTTGGACAAATTTAGAGAATTAATTTGGGGATAAATCATGGATAATTATCAGATTATTAATGCTGGAAAATTTGGACCAAAATACCCCTAAATTATTAGACTTGGATTAATGAGAACCAAGTGTTGAAGGGCAAAATGGGAATTAAGAATTTTGGTCAAACTCCCTTGGACCAAATTTATTGGCCTTGTCCCTCTCTCGTCACTCTCCCCGGCCAACTCTCTCTCTCCTCTCCCTCTCGCCCGAAATCTCTCTCTTTCTCTCTCTCGCAGTGGCCGTTACCACCGCCGGCCGCCGTTCGCCGCCGTGCCACTACCTGAGCACTACCTGACCGCCTCACCACCACCGTCCCACTCCCTCTCTCTTCTCTCTTTCTCGTTCGGCCAAGGACAACCGGACCGGCTCAAGCCGTGGGCCGCCGGTGCAAAGAACCGCCGAAGCCGCCGACCGCCGTTCGCTTAGGCCGTCACCGTCTCGCCTCGCCGTTCCATCACCACCTGACTTGATCTCTCTCCTCTCCCCTGTCCGGCAACCAACCCTCACCTTTCCCCTTGGACCGCCGCTCGCCAGACCGCTGAGGACGTCGCCGCTCGCCGGAATGCCGCCGCCGATTCTGCCGCACGTCGGCAATTGGCCACTGGTTCCCCGCCGGTTTAGTTCTATTTAGAGCTTGGATTAGGTGAGTAATTAAGCTCTAAACCCTAATTAGGACTTCAATGCATTTCTAGATAGGATTTAGTGGTTTTAGGGGTTAATTAGGGTGTTTAGGGGTTGATTAGTGACTGGTTTAATTGTGGCTGTTATGGTGGTGATTTAGGGAGATAATTGAGGTACTTTGAGGTTGAATTGTGGTCCTTACTGAATTTATTTGTGGCTGTCCAAGGCGGGGCTCATTCGTAGTGAGGTGGATTAAATTGGAATTGAACGGTGTTATTGCCGAAAATGCTTTGGTTAGCCTAATTGTGGTTGAGGTGTACGTGATTGTATTTATTTAATGATGCCCCGTTGTATACCTAGAATGGCCGAAAATGACTAAGTGTGGCGGGCCTTGATTTTGGCAAGTTTATGGTGCACTATTAGTGTGAATTGTGTGTCGTGCCGATTTATGTTTGATTGGAAAATTTGTCATGCCGATAAAATGTTGATTAGTTATATTGTGGTGCTATTGAGCATGTTATGGCCTTGAGTGATCTTATTTTGGCTTGATTGGATTATGTGGCTGAATGGAAATTTGGTGCTCATTGTGCATCGTGTGATTGCCCGAGTACGGGAAATTCATGGCCACGCATTTTGTATGCTGAGAATGGGCATGAGACGAAAATTTGTACAAGTGTGCGTGCTTGGCATGAATGTATGATCACTAATGGCCTGATGCGTTTCGATGCGGGGTCGATGCCGTCCTGATGCGTTTACGCGAGACGATGCCCGGTTCGTCCGAAAGACGGCGTTGGTCCGTAAGGAGATCGGTGTTGCGCCTGATGCGTTTTACGTGGGCCAGAGACACTGGGCCATATGTGCTTCGGCGCGGGCCGTAGAGTGTCGTAGGCCTTCGGGTCGTGGCCTTCGGGTCGATTTATAATGTGGCCTTCGTGTCGTGGCCTTCGGGTCAGTTTATAACTGCAAATGAGCCGTGTGCCTGAGTGCAGCATTTGAGCCAAATCACGAGCATGGCAAATGTGTGCCGGAGTGTGTTGGCTAATGTGTGTGCCGGTGATTCGCATGTGAGACAGGCATTAATGAGCATGACCATGTGTATGGCGGACGTGTGACCAGTGTGTCGCGTATGAGCCGTGAACATTATTATGAAATGCCTAACTTGCAGGGTCAATTGTATGCTCGATCTGGGCCGAGGGCCTAGGTCAATTGATTGAAATGATTATATATTGTTTGTTTGTTGCCTGTCAGGAGGTGCATGTTAGCCTAGTTTCGGTTTAGGGGTTTTTACTCGCTGAGATTCGTCTCATTGTTGTATAAAACCTCTCTTTTCAGACCCCCGACCCTGAGATGGCAGAGGCACCAATGCGTTTCGGGATTCCCCACTTTGTCGAGAAGACGATGTCTATACATCCCGTAGGGAACGGGAATATGTACATTAGATACTATACCTTAGTGTGGGTAGATGTCGGGGAGACACATTCTGAGACCCATGAATATGTTGCATGGTGTTATAGAACTTTTGCTGGGGAGGAGACCGGGCCCCTTCGGACTTTTGATATCCCGTTTAACGGGGAGGGCCAGATCGACCCTCAGTGTCCCAATGGTGATGTAGTGGACCCCGTTGCTTCAGCTGAGGAGAGTGTGAGTTCGGATGGTGTACCCGTGGAGTATGAGATGGATGAGCTCGATCCGATGGATATGGAGCAAGCTGAGTGGGATGATGATCCAAAACCGATGGACCCTGATGACGAGCCGGAGCCCATTGAGGAGGACCCTGCGCCAGAGGGCGAGCTCGAGGCTATGGATGCAGAGGAGGAGTCTTCAGAGGCTGAGTCCGAGCTGGACTCATTAGATTCAGAGGAGGAGCTGCCTAATAGTTCTACATCCTCTGAGTCTTCTGGTTCCGACCCGGACTGGGTCCCCTTGGATAGCCTCAGCTTTGGATAGGACGGGCCGTACCTTTTTTATTAGAGCCCAGTCTTAGTTAGTTATCTAACCCCTGGCCGCTGTCCCTTTTTGACTATAGTGGCTGTTGTTCGTTTCTGGGTATGTTGTACCCCCTGTAAATGAATATTGTACATATTTTATGGTTATGCAAAAGTATGTTTTTACTCATATTGGTTTTTGTTGTTGTGCTATCCATGGTTGTCTTATTTATCGTACGGGTGTATATATCTATTTGAGTATATACGTCGCTTCCGCATGTGTATTGATATCTGTGTTGGGCGATGGGTCGGCGACGCTTCCTGGGACGTCGCAGTAATTTCGACCTAGGAGAGGGATGCTCGCGCTTTGTGGGGTACGGGGCGTGACATCCCCGTTTGATTTGGTATTAGAGCAAGGTCAGCTCGGTCAAACTAGGTCAAAGTCTGGAGTGATAAGGAGTAATGACCTTGGATAGCCAGTAGGGTGACCTTGTGTGCTAAGTGTACCTCCTGACTGTCTATGTTTGATTGAGTGCATATGTAAATTGACCCGTGATGTACAGGTGCGGCAGGACCTGAGGTGAGTATGTGTACCTCCTTGTTGAGGTCCTGTGTTGTTTATGCATAGCCGCATGCTAAGTGGTTGATTGTTGTTGTGCTAGCTACCTGCCTAGGACTTTAGACCGGTTTAGTTGATTTAGGTCTCTAATTCCTTGTGGAATTATAGCAGGTAGGCGGTTAGTGAAATCAGTACCAATGAGGAGAAGAGGAAAGGAACCCCAGGGACAACCCAGTGCAGGAGGCCAAGAGGCCAGAGATCCTAGACTGGAAGATGTTATTCAGACCCTGCACAAGATAGGAAACATTATGGGTAGGCAGGCTCAGGAAAGGGCTGCCACCATAGCTTAGGCTGCTGAGGCTGCAGCAGCAGCTGCTGTGAATGAGAATAATGCCAATCAGGGGCAAGCTCAAATGGCGGTGAACCGACAGATGCACCAGCTAGTTGAACAATTTCTGAAGCTAAAGCCGCCTAAGTTTACTGGAAAAGGTGACCCCGAGGCTACACCAAGATGGGTAGAGGAATTAGAGAAAGCATTTGAGGTGTTGAGGTGCATCGAGAGTGAGAAAATAACCCTGGCTGTGTACCAGTTGCAAGAGAACGCAAATGATTGGTGGAAGGCCACCAGTGCTAGGGTGTTTCCTAAAGGTGTCGCCCAGACTTGGGCTGCGTTCACAGAAAGTTTCTATGGGAAATACTTCTCGGATAGTGCCAGGGAAAGGAAGATAGCAGAGTTTATGCAACTCTGCCAAGGTCAAATGATTGTAGATCAGTACGAGGCGGAATTTGCTAGATTGTCCAAGTTTGCGCCGAGGATGGTGGAACATCCCGAGGATAAGGTACGAAGGTTCCGGGAAGGATTGAAACCTGATATTCGCACTCAGTTGATACCGACAAATTTGAGGACCTATGAGGACATTTATGATAGAGCTCAGGCTCTTGAGCGGGACCAAGTAGATAGGGCAGCCGCATCTGGATCGCGGTTTGCCTAGAACAAAGACAACCGCCGCTTTGGAAAGAAGCCGATGACAGGGAATCGGCGTTTTGTCCCGCCAATTAGGAGGAACATTGGGAAGCCGAACCCTCCACAGAACCGATTTGGGGCATGCTTTAGATGTGGGAGTTTGGAGCATCAAATTAAGAACTGTCCCCAGCAGCGCCCTTTTGGACCCCCAGGGCAACCGCAGCAAAACCGAATAGGGAATCAAGCTGGGAATCCCCCACCGGCTAACCAGGGCAGACCGCCAGCGCAAGGACGAGTTTATGCAATGGCGCGAAGAGAGGCGGAGGATACGCCGAGCGTGGTCACAGGTACGATTTCTTTATGTGATCATGCTGCCTATGCATTGTTTGACCCGGGGGCGACCCATTCATTTATTTCAGAGCAGTTTGTTAAACTGGTTGGAATTGAATCTGCTGTGCTTGAGACCATGCTTTGTGTGACAACCCCATTAAATGATAAAGTGTTAGTGTCATTAGGGTGTCCTAGTTGTAAAATAGTGATTGGGGGTTGAGAAGAAAGCATCGACTTGGCAGTGTTGGCCATGTTCGATTTTGATGTGATAGTTGGAATGGATTGGCTGGTTAAACAGAAAGCTGTAGTGGATTGCAGCAATAGGGTGATCCAATTTAATCCGGTTGGACATCCTAGATTCGAATTTCAGGGAAACCGAGGAGGAACCTCGATCCCTTAGATTTCCTCGCTCGAAGTAACTAAGTTGTTGGATGAAGGGTGCGAGGGGTATTTGGTGAATGTAATTGATCCGACCATGGCAGAATCTAAGTTGGAAGAGATACCGGTAGTGTGTAATTTTCCCGAGGTTTTTCCTCAGGAATTGCCTGGTTTGCCACCGGAGCGAGAAGTGGAATTTGTGATAGAATTGGCCCCGGGCATAGAGCCGATTTCCAAGGCGCCGTATCGGATGTCTTTGTCAGAATTGAAAGAGTTGAAAGTCCAGATGCAGGAATTATTGGACAAGGGTTTCATTCGTCCTACTGTGTCTCCATAGGGAGCACCGGTCCTGTTTGTAAAGAAGAAGGACAGGACGTTGAGGTTATGTATCGACTATCGGCAGTTGAATCAGGTGACGATTAAGAATAAGTATTCACTGCCGAGAATTGATGACCTATTCGACCAGTTGCAGGGGGCCTTAGTGTTTTCTAAGATTGATCTTCGGACTGGATACCATCAGTTAAGAATCCAGAAAGAGGACATTCCTAAGACCGCTTTTAGGACGCGGTATGGGCACTATGAGTTTATAGTGATGCCCTTCGGGTTGACCGATGCCCCTGCAGCTTTCATGGATCTAATGAACAGAGTGTTCAAGGAGTTTTTGGACAGATTCGTCATAGTATTTATTGACGACATATTAGTATATTCGAAAAGCCCGGAAGGGCATGAGATACATCTAACTGAGGTTCTACAGACTCTGAGAGAACACACGCTCTTCGCCAAGTTCAGCAAGTGTGAGTTTTGGCTAAGTAGAGTAGCGTTTCTTGGACACATAGTCTCGGGAGATGGAATTTCTGTGGACCCGACAAAGATTGAGGTAGTAATGAAGTGGCCAAGACCGACCTCAGTAACAGAAATCCGAAGTTTCTTAGGATTAGCTGGCTATTATCGACGTTTTGTAGAAGGGTTCTCGTCGATAGCCATGCCGTTGACGCGATTGTTAAAGAAGGACTCTAAGTTTGAATGGAATGATAAGTGCGAGAAAAGTTTTCAGGAGTTGAAGCATAGGCTTACAACTACCCCAGTTTTGACTATTCCATCTGGACCAGGAAGATTTGAAGTCTACAGCGATGCGTCGCTAAGAGGACTTGGTTGTGTTTTGATGCAGTATGGAAAGGTAGTCGCATATGCGTCGCGCCAGTTGAGGTCGCCTGAAATGAATTATCCAACGCATGATTTAGAGTTGGCAGCAATTGTTTTTGCCTTTAAGATCTGGAGGCATTATTTATGGGGGGAAAAGTTCCAGATTTATACTGATCATCAAAGCCTCAAGTACCTGTTTTCACAGAAGGAATTAATATGAGGTAGCGCCGATGGATGGAACTTCTGAAGGACTACGACTGCGACATTATGTATCATCCCGGGAAAGCAAACCGAGTAGCGGATGCGCTAAGTCGCAAGTCGAGTATGGCGTATATGATGGTCAAAGAGTGGACCTTGCTGGAAAGACTCAGAGACTCGGAGTTTAAATTTGAGTTGAGTCAGATGTCTAGCCTGATGGCCACATTGAGAATTGAACCGGAAATCCAGGCAAGGATTAAGGCACTCCAGTCTATGGACCAAAAAATACAAAAGATTGTTGGATTGGATGCCGCTGCAAGGAAACCGGAATTCCAAGTGAATGAGGACGGAATTTTGAAGTTTCGAGGGCGATTGTGTGTGCCTAATGATTTGGAGCTCAAGGAGGAAATTTTAAGTGAGGCACATCGCAGTAAGTATAGTATCCACCCTGGTAGTACAAAGATGTAATAGAATTTGCGGCAACATTATTGGTGGAATGGACTGAAGAAAGATGTGGCCAAGCATGTGGCCAAGTGTTTGACGTGCCAACAAGTGAAGGCACAACACTGTAAGCCAGGAGGACTACTGCGACCATTGGAAATCCCCGAATGGAAATGGGAGCACATCACGATGGATTTCGTCTCCGGACTACCGAGAAGCCAGCGAGGACATGATTTCATTTGGGTGATAGTGGATCGACTGACAAAGTCAGCGTACTTCCTGGTAGTGCGAAAGGATTTTGAATTGGAAAGGTACACGGAGTTGTATGTTCGACAGATCGTCAGATTGCATGGAGTACCAGTAACGATCACGTCGGATCGAGATCCGAGGTTTATAGCCAACTTTTAGAAGAGTTTGCAATCGGCCTTAGGAACAAAGTTGCAGTTCAGTACTGCCTATCATCCGCAGACGGATGGCCAGTCTGAAAGGACGATTCAAACTCTGGAAGATATGTTGCTTGCCTGTGTGGTAGACTTCCAAGGCAAATGGGAAGAACAGCTGCACCTGGTAGAGTTCGCATACAATAATAGCTACCAGCAAAGCATTCAGATGGCACCGTTTGAAGCCTTGTATGGCAGGGCGTGCAGGACGCCAGTATGCTGGAATGAAGTCGGTGAAAGGAGTATCACCGGCCTAGAGTTGGTTCAGCAGTTGGTTGAGGCAGTTGAGATTATCAGGAAAAGGCTAAGGACCGCACATAGTCACCAGAAAAGTTATGCCGATCGGAGACGACGACCTTTGGAGTTCCAAGTGGGAGATCATGTATTCTTCAAGGTGTCGCCTATGAAAGGATTATCCAGATTCGGCAAGAAAGGAAAGTTAAGTCCGAGGTTTGTCGGGCCTTTTGAAATTTTGGAGAAGATTGGCGATATGGCTTACCGACTTGCCTTACCGCCCAATTTGTCCCAAGTTCACAATGTTTTCCACGTGTCAATGTTGAGAAGGTATGAACCAGATTCGACCCGCGTTCTAAGGTACGAGGAGATAGACGTGGACGACAGGGTGTCGTACGTGGAGAGACCAGTAAGGATTGAGGACAGAAAAGAGCGTGTACTTCGGAATAAGGCGATCCCGATGGTCAGGGTCATATGGGAGCACCACGGAACCGAAGGTGCCACTTGGGAAAGCGAAGAGGCCATGAGACGTCAGCACCCCTATCTGTTTGAGTAGATAGGTTTGGATAGTAAATTTCGAGGACGAAATTTTTTGTAAGGGAGGAAGAGTTGTAACATCCCGAATCTCGACTCATTTCCGGGATCAATAATATTGATATTATTCCTCATTCAATTTTAGTAAGTCTCGCCCGAAATTGAGCTCTCTCGGGATACTAACCGAAAGGGAATGGCTAATTAGGAAACGGTACGTGGACCAGGGACCCGATCGCGAATCGGGCACCGATTTCGAGAAACGATGGGGACATTTTTTGGGCCAACGTGGGCCGATCTTAGAAGGGTGACGGATTTAGTTTGGCCAATGATGTACGATCGGATCGCGAGTGATTCCGCACGACCGAGAGTGCGCATGGCGAACAAATCCCGAACTTAAGCCGAATGATTGCGACCTCCGGAACTAGTGATAATTCCTCGTGTTCTCCCGATAATCGAGACCGTCATGACTCGAGTAACCCTAGGTCGATACGCGTAACCCCTAAACAGCATCCCGTTAGTGAGAAATCCTAAAATTCTAAATTGAGCGATTTTGGTCACGGAATTGAATCCGAAGTTGGACGTCGGATTTCGGGGTCGTGAGCGACTATTTTGCGAGGACGACGTCATTTTAGTGTAGCCACATGTATTTGGGGTTAGTACGGTCGAAAAATGGAATTTTGGCCCGAAATCGGAAAATGAACATTTTGCCCCTAGGCCAAAATTGGGCATTCCGAATTTTTGGACAAATTTAGAGAATTAATTTGGGGATAAATCATGGATAATTATCAGATTATTAATGCTGGAAAATTTAGACCAAAATACCACTAAATTATTAGACTTGGATTAATGAGAACCAAGTGTTGAAGGGCAAAATGGGAATTAAGAATTTTGGTCAAACTCCCTTGGACCAAATTTATTGGCCATGTCCCTTTCTCATCACTCTCCCCGGCCAACTCTCTCTCTCCTCTCCCTCTCTCCCGAAATCTCTCTCTTTCTCTCTCTCGCAGTGGCCGTTACCACCTCCGGAGCCGAGCACCCCCGGCCGCCGTTCGCCGCCGTGCCACTACCTGAGCACCACCTGACCGCCTCACCACCACCGTCCCACTCCCTCTCTCTTCTCTCTTTCCCGTTTGGCCAAGGACAACCGGACCGGCTCAAGCCGTGGGCCGCTGGAGCAAAGAACCGCCGAAGCCGCCGACCGCCGTTCGCTTAGGCCATCACCGTCTCGCCTCGCCGTTCCATCACCACCTGACCTGATCTCTCTCCTCTCCCCTGTCCGGCAACCGACCCTCACCTTTCCCCTTGAACCGCCGCTCGCCGGACCGCCGAG